CTTTCATTTCACAATTATATGTATTTTTTGTGCATGTGTACAAAGACTTGAGAGTTTGAAATGACAGGGGGTGGGGGGGCAGAGCTTCATAATTTAGATGCAAAAGTCTACTTCTTGGGAGGGACAAAACCAAATTAAATATGGGGGGTACACACAGCACCCCCCTCTATCTCCCAGTTCCTACACTCCTGGTTGTCTAAGATATATAACATCCCTAGAAACTGCCAGTTTCAGACAGGGTGAAACAATGGGTGCTTCTATCTGAAATTGGAATTTCACGTAAATAAGTCACATAGGCTCAAAACGAAACGAAAAAAGTATCCAGGCCTGACATTTTTAGGACAATTTCCACTGTGCAGAAGGAAGAGATATTTTGTTGTTGTTGTTCTAACAGTCGCTAGGGTTTTTTTTTTTTTGACATGACACGGAAATACATTTAAATCAGGCAGCGGGTAGCTAAACAGGCAGTGCGGGAAAAAAAAAAAACGCATAAAACTGCCTGCTGTGCTCTAAATTGCGGCATTAGAGGCTGGAGAGTCCCCCTTAGTCTCATACAGTACATATATAAATGGATGTATACACATATGCACAAACACACAATTATGAGCCCTTTTCCACGCGCGAGTGCACTCGTTACGTACGTCTGTACTCACAATGAAAACATGTTGGCTGAAGTGTATTTTTGTGTTATGTATAATGTATACGCACAAAAGGAGGGAAAAGTGAGTCGCGGCACAGCAGCGGGAACCGCAGCGAGTGGCTGACAGCTGGAGCATGTCGATACGCTGGTCAAGGCCGCCGGGCGGCACGGCGGTCAGCCACTTGCCATGCGGCTCCCCTCCGCCTGGTTTTTCCGCGAGCCTCCATTCCTGTGGCGGGCAGGGCGTCAGCTGTGGTGGTGACCGAGCATTCCAGTTCCCCCGTTCGGCGTACACCCCCTCCATAGCGGTTACTACCTCCCCAATTCTCCACTCTTTATCCCCACCTGCACCTCTGGCGCACTCACTGCCGGGAAACCCGTGAGGCAACATGGGCAACTGCTTAGGGTGCCCTCTTCTGACGGGGCACTGAATTAGCAAGTGAATTTCACTTTTTTTTTTTTTTTGGATGGGGTGCGGCAGGGGGGTTGGGGAGGTGGTGAAGCTTGCCTAGGGCACCAGATGGACCGGCACTAACCACACCCTATCTTGGACGGGTGGGGGTACCTCCAGACACAACAATCGCACCCATGGCTAAGAACACGGCTTAAAAAAAGCCACGAGGTGCCTGTCATTCGATCCACACTTAAAAAGACTGCATAGACACAACTTGGAACCGCAGAGCTGACATGGGGGAGGGGTGTAGGGATTGGGATCTTGTTTACATCCGTGGCCCATGTGTTAAACGAGTCATACGAGGAGTGCCCAGCCGGGTTCTGGGCAGCGGGAGAAGGCCGCCGGTAGCATTGGCAGACCTCCAGGCCTTTGCCTCACAGCCCAGCCCAGCCGAATGAATCTCCGCGTCTGGCGTGTGGCGGTTCCTCACGTGGAGGCGGGCAGACGTGGATCGGCATGCGCCAAGGGGCCGCGGTAATAACAGGGTTCCCTGCAAATATGCGCCCCTGTTTACAAAGGGCCTTGTTCTCATACTCCGGGGCTGGGAGCAATTTTAGCAGCAAATAGCTTCCCATGCCGATTCAGAAATGTTTTGATAGTTTTGGTGCCTGTTCATAATGTTTTAAATGATGGGCAGCTCAGGTATCACCTTTCTCTAAACTTTTTATGATTTTATTTGATCTTATTTTTGTTGTGTTAAACATAACACGCCAGTTCTTTTTTCCCCCTACGGTACAGTCCGGAACCTTAACATTCTCCGTTGTGTGTGAAATTTCGCTCAATTCGGAAAAGGCGTACGCAGCATGTTGCTAGAACCCTGACAGCTGCTCGTTCATCAGGACTTCCGACTGAATTTACTTCATTAATATCACACTGGCATTTAAAGCAGAGCCTTTATTTAGTTTGCAATATTTTATCACCCCGGTCATTATATGGTAACTTGAATCTGACCTGCTGACTTTATCTGAAAATGTAAATGTACTGGAGTGATGAATGATTTAGCGCAACAGTTTAGGCACTTACAAGGCCTGTAACCTGTACAGGAAAGTTAAGGAACCATCCATCCATCCATCTTCCTTGAATGCTGACCCAGTACAGGGTCACTCTGAGCCTATTTTGCATGTGTTTTCGGTAATAATAACGTAGTTGTGATGCAGAACTCTGAATTGCCATGAAAAAGACGGCACACCACTTCGAAGTACACGTCGTTCCTCCGGGCTACAGTGGGACATTTACTAAAAACTGAAGCACTGGTAGCAATTTGTGTCCCTTCATGGTCCGCTGATTTATTGCCAGAAAGGTCTAGGTTGCACCAATATCAAATTATCATGCCGCAGTGTATTATTTTTTACAAGGTATTACCATATTAGAGGATAAAATATGAATGCTACCGCTCTCCAGGAGCCTGACAACTCTGGCACAGGAAGAGTAAAAAGGTGTAAATTCCTTTTGGTTTAACTAAACACGCCTTCAGCTTATGGTGACTTTATGGCCTTGTCAGGCCCTGTGTTTAAACCAGCCTAACCATACCTGTCCAAGACAATTTTGACAGCAAACCTCTAAAATAAAGGCTTGTTCAGGGCGCTGCTGTTGAGAAGTGCCTCGAGCAAGCTCCAGCGCACAAATAAATCTGACAGGCATACGGCAGCGAACTCCTGTGACGCAAACAGGAGAATCTCGCTAATCCGAGAGTAACTCTCTCGCTGTATTGGTTTTGACATCTCTTTGGATTTGCTCTGCTCCTCACTGAGCTCTCAAGATGTAAAACGCAAGACAGAAATATTATACAGATGTGTTCAATTCAGACATGCCCAGAAGTTACCGGCAAACATGAATAAATCCAAAGCAAGCCCTAAAACAGTTTGGAGAAGAATCCAGAATAGAAGATTACAGCCTCAGTTGACCTTTGGAGGTCACCGGTAGAGTGAAAATATTCTCATTTATTTCAGTTTTTATGGCCTATATTGGACGAAGCGATCCTGTTCTCTCAAAGCCAGTGCTGATGACAAACCTTCACTGGAACAACCCGCTAAATCTCACCTTGTGTTCAGTAGTTATTTAGTCTTGCAACAAGATCTTTTTCTGGCGCCGAAAGCAGCTAAATCGCAGGATTTCCGCCAGCACTCTACGGCACTAAACCCAAATTTTACATTGTAATTAAGATATTATTCAGAAAATGTGGCAAAGGTATAATTATATTTGAAATATAGCAAGTTGTAAAAGCGAGAGAAAATCTTGCGGTTACATTAAGCCGTATTCTGCTGCCGCAGATCGTTTCGTTTAGGGGGTTATATCAGCAGGAGACCCTCCCTGGTGGGATAGAGCCAGACCGGGGCGAAGGCACAGCGTACAGCTCACTGGAAGGGGCTCCCGATTTTAAGCTGTTTGCGAGAAACTGAAAACCACCCCATAGACTAAATTTATTAAGACATCAGCCCAGTGACTCTGTATCTTTCTGGTATTGTCAACTGCTGTACTCCAATTCCTGACTCTTACTCCAACTAATATATGGCGGACATCAAAATAAAATACAAAAAAATAACTCCTGAAGCCAAAAAAGAGACAAAGCCAAGAAAAACCCTTCAGCTGAGAACAAAATGTTTATTTTCAGTTTTGTAGTGGCTGACAGTTCAACTTTGTTTCTAAGAATGGATCCTTCTTTGGAGCAATGTGACACGGTTTAGGTCTTGCTGACATTTGGTGTTACACACACCTATACGTTAGGCAGGAGGTCTCCAATGCTGGCCTTGTCCTCGTACGGCTGTGGGATACGTCATTCTGGCAGTGGGATATGTCACCAGCAGGCTGGACTGCTGTTACCACATTTCCTCAACTTATTTACGTTGCTGAGTGAGCAGGGTGCTCAGGCTGAACAATCCCTTTAGAGTGCAGCACCACTGGCGGAGCAGTGCTGGGGTACAGATTCATGTTTTCTTCAAGACACGTTCTCAGGAACGCAACAGATCTTGGAGGTACCAGGTTTGCTCTAGCACCATTCAGATGGCCATGGATGACCCATTGCTATGGCTGGAAAGACCCTGGACCCACTACCAGTCAACGCCTATGTGGTGCCCCAGAGTTTCACTGCCAGTGCCCCCTGTCTGAGACAAAGTAAAACTGGCTGGCTAAGTCAGTGCCCCCTGTCTGAGACAAAGTAAAACTGGCTGGCTAAGTCAGTGCCCCCTGTCTGAGACAAAGTAAAACTGTCTTGCTAAGTCAGTGCCCCCTGTCTTAGACAAAGTAAAACTGGCTTGCTAAGTCAGTGCCCCCTGTCTTAGACAAAGTAAAACTGGCTTGCTAAGTCAGTGCCCCCTCACAAGATGGCGCCCTAGGCAGCCACCTGCCACCTAATGGGTTGACTAGCACTACCTGGGCATCACTCTCTTTATCCACACTCGCATGGATCGACATGGCTACCCACACTAGTCAGCCTGGTTCATCAAAACAAACACGCAAGCTCTCTTTTTCCACACCAAAGAATCCACCGCAGTGCATTTCCAACAACTCACCTTTCACCGCCATAGGCTATGTGTGCAGTTCCACAGTATTTCGGTTTATTAGCCGATTTGTGCTGTTTTTCCTGGCATGGGCCGGGCGAGGGGAAAACTGGCCACACACTAAGGTAGGGCAGATCGACAAACACAGTCCTGGTAATAATCTTTGACAGTTTCACAAATTGTTTCTGACACACAAGTTCCCCTGTAATTACAAATAGAAATCTGACATCGTAACCTCTTTTTAAATTCATTTGAAATGTCAACAACTCAGTTTAGAAGGCTAGAAACATTGAGAGTAGACTACAGGTTTGCTTGTTTGAATGGGTTCAGTGTCACTTCTGAAATGAGGACCTTGCACAGTTTCAAAGAAAATGTGCACAAAAATTTTTTTAAAACGATGCTATATTGATTCTTAGTACATGGTTTAATCGACAAATAAACACTTACACATGACATTTTAAATGCAGCTTAAATACATCAGGTAATCAACAGGACATTACAAGGATCTTTGCGTACATTTGAAATAAGTGGCTATGTCTACAGAATTAACACATCACACATGCAACCAGAGTCTTCTAGCAGGTCAATAAGAACCAGCAGGGACCAGTTTTCCATTAAAGGTCAGTCTAATCTGTATGATTTTGTTAATGATTAGCCAAGACTAGTTCCATTGTGTGATGGCGCATGAGTTAAATCGAAGATACAGGACATTTCAGCACATGGGAGTTCATGGGATGATCGGTGAAGAACCCACCAATCAGAGCACACTTCAGGGAGGCGTGGCAGCGGGGGGGGGGGGGGGGCGGTGGGAATGGACCGATCCACCACCCGAAACAGGCACACAGAGCCTTCAGCATCCTGGAGCCCACCCAGTCGCTGTCCCACATCGAGCACAACAGCAGGTCATACCGTTCGCCAGCATTTGCGTCAACTGCGCCACAAAATCGCAGATTGTTTAAATAGTAGATGTTATCGCTCGCTTACGGATGGGTGCCAGGAACCAAGGGGTTCTGTTTGACTTCTGCAAGCCAAGCGCCTGCATGATCCAGGAGGGCTGACGAGACAGGCAGCAAACATCCGTCCCATGAAGGATTTACAGTACTGAACGCTTTTCCCCACAGACAAGTGACGATGGTTTCAGAAAAAACAACATTTCCATAAGAGCAGGTTGTTTAATATTTCTTTAATGCGATGTTGCATGTTTCCCTGCATTTCCTGCACTGACACTGCTAAAATACACCATAATACATGTACCTTGATTGTCACTGCACATTAAGTGGAGAAAAAGACTAACTGGTTTATTATTCGTGTTCATTAAGGTATTAATGACTATTTCAGACAGTATATTATACATAATACAGTATATACAGGTCCCCACCCACCCGGAACTTTCTGCAATAAGAATTATCCTCATAACTACCTGTATATATCCGTTACAGTTTAATAGCTGGAGCAAACATGTTAAAGTGCCAAGAAATACGACTGAAATCATTAAAAAAAAATTCCACCCTCTCACATAACCTTATAAACAGAGATCACAACATAACAGTTTGAAATAAAAAGTGTTTTAAATCACATTTAAAGTTTTATACCTTTCCTAAGCATGGCTGCGGCCCAGATCTTTCTACCTGTGGTGGTCGTCCATGTAAACAGCAACGATAATGTGTCAGTTTCTGCATCCCCCTGGTCAGCCCGACTAAAGCGAGCAAAGGTAAAACCCAGATGAAGGACTGGACCCCACCGTCCGCCATTTCTGCTCAGATACTCCTGGTCAAACTGCAGAGTGTGGTTGCTCTTCACACTTAACCTCTGCCTGTTGCTGGGGTGCAAAATTCTGTAGTGGAGTTTCCCTTTATATCTGAAATTCCATTATTTCCACAAGCGCCCATTTGTCCCTTAATTTTCCCACCCAACACTGTCCAATAAATAACCAGGTTGGTTAAGGGCACAGGGCTATAATTCCAGCTCCATCCCAGTCAGGAAAGAGGGTCTCCCACACAAATGTGAGTACCAAGCCTAGAGATAATCACAGTCAATAAGACTATTAATTACAAATTGACGGTTGGTTCCATTTCTTGTCTTTGTTTTCCCATCAGACGAAGACAGATGTTGCTTCCTCCTCACCAGCTTCTCCCCTCAAAGGAAAGTACCTCCTGCTTGCTCTAGCAGGGGCACCTCAATCTTCTCTCTGCCCCGATCTCTACAGTAAATGCAGCATTTCCAAACACTGTCCTCTGGGACCCACAGTTGCTCCACGTTTTTGCTCCCTGCCTGACAGTCCACATTTTTTTGCTATGGAGTTGGGAGGGAGCAAAAACATGGACCATCTGCTGCTCCCCAAGGACTGGACTGGGAAACACTGCTCTAATGGAATTGCTCCAGCAACAGGAAATTAATTCTGGAACACCTTGGGCCACCTCGCGCACGTGACGAAAACTATGGGATGTTTAGATCACCACAATCACACAGATAATTTGGTAGCAATGGCCACCATTTCCGCAGCTCTTCATTAATTGCACTGAAAAAATAGATAAAATCATGTAAACTTGGCAAATGAGATCAACTAAACCAATGTCTTGTCATACATTAAAAAAGCTACATTATCAAACATCATAACAGTCCACAAACCACATACAGTATATACACATATATACAAATACCAGTGACATACAAGATACATTAAGCTACATAAAGTATGTTCAGAGGTCAGAAATTCAACTGTGAAGTAGAATATGTATATCTTAAATTAAATACTTAAATATGAGCTTGTTACCTCCAGCTATTTAACGATGAAAAAAATCTATTTCAGCCAAAAATTCTGTCATCTGCTCTACTATCAGTATGTTCTTCATGTGTATCATCTATCCATACTTCCCCGTTCTGTTTAATATGCATATTAATCATCATCAGCATGTCCATGCAGCATCTGCTGAATATAATCATGGTTAATGTTTAAATTTTACTTGTGCAAAGCGGTCTGCAAAAAGCAACAATTTGATATCTCTGGTGTCCCATGTAGTGGAAATATTTTGGAAAAACATTCAGATTTTAAGATGAACCATAAACTTCTCAATGGGCTGCCCATGAAACTGGAACCAAGCAGTTTCCATCTGCCCCCCCCTCCACAGTGAGGAGAAGGCAGCCGTAAGGGCTTCTGGGAAGGAAAACCAGCACACGTGATTGGCTAGTTAGTGCCAATCAAACACAGGTTGTGCTACACTTACAAACGTATTTTCTTCTTTAGTCACCAAGAAGGGAAAGATAACTGGAATATGATCAAAATGGTGATCTCAGGCCTGACTCTGCATATGAGGATTAAAAGGCAATTAACTCCTACGATAAAACCGTGTTCAAAACTCGTTTAAAGATCTTCACTTGGTCCACCCAGGGCTGCCGAAACGGTTGGGTTACAGACAGAGATTTTTTTTTTTTATCCAAATATGAAATTCGACAACTACAGCTTGAATCTGATGAGAAAATGGATGACTCCCAGTTGCAGACAGATATATATGTATGTTTGCGTGTGTGTGTGTGTGTGTGTGTCTTAGTGCAGTGTCTCCCCAAAGTGAGCACATGCAACATGCCAGGGTTAAGTACAGACATGCACCCATCACGCACGCTCAGTCCCCTACAAGGACTGTTTTCTACATGCTTCTCTGGCTATACTTCCAGTATCTGGACATTTTTTTTTTTTTAACAGTTAGATGCCTAATTTTCTGTTATCCCTCTGAGTAACACAGCAGGCTGAAATACCCCTAATATATACACAACCCCCACTGGAACCGATGCACAAACGGCATCTGAAAAGGAGATTACCCAGTCCCAGAAATGCGTCCAAAAACAGACATGTCAGTTCGCTGCCACGCAGCGCCCATGCCAAGAAGAACAGCATTATCAAATAAAACCAGAGGCTACATTAAGGACAGATTTGACTGGTCCACGGCTGCTGTCCTGCAGTTCACTGCTTCAGTCCATACAGTGAACACCCAAGCCACCACGCTGGCTCCAGGGAGTATAAGGACACTGTCCAGGCCCGAAAAGTGGAGGCAAGCGAAGGAGCTTAGGTGCTGGGAGTGATTACAGGCCACCAGACACAGGGGACAAGGGCGGCAGAGGCCGAGATTCACAGCAGCTTCCGCATGCGCCGGGAATGTCTGTCAATGTTCATGGTGGCGCGGTCCGTGGAGGAAGCCAGGACGTCCAGCGCCTCGTCCTGCCTCTCCAGCTCCGACTCGGCCTCCAGGGCCAGGTTCTTCAGCTGGAGCAGCATCTGAGCAGCCGGGAGGGGATAAAACACAAGCACTCAGGCCCAGAAAGCGAGGCATCTGGGCTCACAAGTTATGGGCCAGAAGGGATTCTGAGGACACCCTCTCCTACCAGAATAAGAACTGGAATTCAAGATCTCATCTAGGCACTGTCGGTTAGGAGAAGGGTTTATGGGCACTGCATGAGAGTTCAATGGCGTTCCTCCAACCCATTCAGGGAAAAGCTCAATTTCCATCTCAAATGAAAGCTTGTAGCAAAGCGTGACCTGGTGAGCAGAGTGGCTGGAGCAAACCAGTGGAAGGGCAACCACAACCTCGCGAGAGTCACCCTCAACTCCACCGCCGGGGATTGCTGACCTAACATCACAACATCCAACTCACGGTCAACATTAGTCACGCTGTGGCGGGCCGTACCAGCCAGACAAACAGGGGAATATGTAAGGACAGAGAATTGGAATATCTCAGCTGCTTCAGGAAGACGTTTTGTTACCGGATATGGCCAAATGCAACAGTCAGATGCTACCTTTCTGGTAACACGCTAAGTACATAGTCCTCCTATTTCTATTTCACAGAACATGGTTTAATCTCCTTCACTTTTAAACAGCTTCGCCCCACACAAGCATAAGATAATTAAGAGCAAACTTCAAGAAATGTACGATATTGGAGTAGCTACGATCAAAGTAAATCAAAGGAAATAGTTGTAGAATGTTTAAACAATACTATTGTAATCATTGTCTTTATAGTGTAGTTAATTTCTTGATGTGTTTGAAAAGAACTGAAACCACACAATGGTGCCAGTGACTGTGCGTAGCTGTGGATAAAGGTCGTCTGAGTAACAAAACAATACCGACAGCCACTGTAACTCCACACTGCGTACTTATGATAACACCATTGTGTGAGGGCTTGGAAAAATGCTAGATATTCTGTTTTCCCATCCTGAAAGGTGTTTAATAAGCGAAAATTAACAGTGTGAATTACTTTACTGGCCAATACAGATCTTGGCAGCGTGAGAATTCAAACACTATTGTAACGCACCACTCCGCACTGATGAAAGGAATGAACTTAATATACAGCCCAGTATTGGGCGAATTGTAAATATTTGATGAAACGGCACAATACGCTAACTGACTGCCAATAATGAAACGTTTATTACAGAAGTGCGGAAAGAGGTACGAGGTTCAATCGCTGGTTCGCCGCAACTGCTGACATCCATCTCATACCTTCGCTTCTTGAGATTTCCCGCCACCAGTGATGCCGCGACTATGCCTGCCGCACTGACGGATCGCTTTTTAAAGGGCTCGTGTCAACAGCAGGCGGTTTCATTAAAGGTTCACGCTAAGAAAGCATACAGGGCTATCGGCATCCGCCTTCACCAGTTGCTGGCAAAATATGAAATTGCTATAAGATGAACAAAGATAAAATATTACTTTTTAAATGGGATTCTAACATGGCTAGACAAACACTCCATATAACGTCATCTTCAATTCCCTGAAACACGTTAAACAACAACCATGGGCTACCCACACATACTTCTTTGAGTTCAAGGGGGCAACTTCCAAGAACGTTTAGCACAAACATCTCAGTTTTCCTCTCTGTGACACCTACTGCTTTAAAAAATTCATTAAACACAACCGCCTCACCAGCCCAGGTATGACACTACCCAACAGGAATCACAAATATTTTGTTGACCACAGCACTGATAAGTTGGGACCAGCAACTTAAAATACAGACTTCACCTTTAACCCTACCCACACAACATTGAGATTTGCATCTAACAATTGGATTTCTTACACTTGAACGCTAATATTGATTACAAAATGCATTATTTTTTTAATTTACCAAACAGGGACAGTGGACCCATTCAAAGTCTATGTCCAATGCAGAGTTTGTGTACATTCTGGTGAAGAGACACCATTTATTCAACCACTACAAAGTCTATAAGTAAAGCTGGCATGAACTGGAATCAATGGAAACTGCAGTCATTAGCATGACTTATTTACAGAAAGACCTTTAAAATACAAACAAAAATGCCTGAACTTGTCCCTTCATGTTAAAGGAGGACCTAGATGGGCATGTAGAGTACATCTAAAATATAACCAAGTTTGTATTAAGCATAACATCTCCACATTACTCTCCATAAGGAACAAGGTCTGGTATCATGCAGGCTTAGGTTAGATTTTATGAAGGATGCTACAACTTGTGAGAATGCAGCAGGAAGAGGAATCAGAAGCGAGGTTGCTGCCTTAGGGTTGGGGCGGCGGATGGGAGAAAGCTATGAAAACTTCATTACATCAGACCCTCATGCTGATAGAACACATCCGTGCCTGTTCCAAGAAGCCTAATAAAGCACACGGCAAACCAGGCTGACACTCTCAATGATGTGCCAGTCAAAAGTTCGGACACACCGACCCACAGAAAGGTTTATATATATATATATTTTTTTTATGGATCCCGTTAAGCAAATTCTCTTTACGCTTTCCCAAGCTTGCTCTCGGCAAGTGGCTGGGAAGGGCAGCCACCCACAGCAGCACCCAGGGAGCTGGGGGTTAAGGGCCTCGCTCAACGACCCGCAGACAGGCTAAGGCACTGAGGCTGACCTCACTGAGCCACACGCTGCCCCAATAATTATAGAATAAAGACATAAAAAACATAAAATACCTAAAATTCCATATATAAGGATTAACTGCTGACCAAAAAAAAAATATTTTAAAAATTATCGGCTGGGGCAGCCCTGTGGGTTGGGGACTCAGGTGGTCGCCGGTTCAAATCCCTGTGATGGCAGAGTGATCCCACTATTGGGCCCTTGAACAAGGCCCAACATATATGCTGAGCACTCAATGGCTGCTGTTCCTTCACTCTCTGGTCAAACTGCTCCAAAACCATATCCACGGTGTTTAGGTCAGGGGGGCAGGTCATGTGACATGACACCATCACTCTCCTCTGCAGGCAGGTTGGCACGTCCAGACTGGTGCTGTACACATAAAACATTAGCCGGAAGCTTGGCATTGGCACAACATTCTTATCCTGGAAGACCTAAAATCGTCCGAATACCTTATTTGCATGAAAACTGGAGCCTTATTTAGAACAGGTCCGAAAAAGTTGTAGACGTGACTTAGTCGCAAGACTTAATGCAATAAAGAAATCGGCGAGAATTCTTCAGACAGTGCGTGAGACAAACTTCGTTTCCATCGCATTTTGTATCTTTGACATACTTGTCAAGTTACGAGGCATTTTTTTTGGAGACAAAGGATTCATGTCTGGGGGCTGCATTTTCCCGCCAAGTGCCACAACTGCCACCCTGACAAAGGCTCCGCCGGCTCCATTCTCCTCTGTCTGCCGTCTTGTATCGCGTAATTGTCAGCATGAAGGCTTGCATTCACGGAGTAAGACTGATGTGGATAGCCAGCTAACACCCACAGCTGTAATCTGTGGCTAAATTTCTCCCGTCCTGGAACAGGCCGACTACGACTGCATTCCTGACAAGTAGTAAACATGCAGTGTGTATGGAATTAGTGGAATGGGATGATGGAAGGCAGCTAAGACGGGCGACCCATAGCACAATCTGTCAAGTCATTGTTGTGCTCCATAAATAGGCAGAGAGCCACCTTTACAACAATCAGCAGCTCTCAGAAACTGATTTGGCCAGAGGCAGCTCACAAATCATAAAAATCTCCCCATTTTACTCTGCCATGGGGGACTTTTTCCCTCTGGGAGAGGGTTAGAGGTACATAGTCTTCTTTATTTAACCTGTACCTGCTGATTTACTATAAAGGCTGTTACAAATAAGCATAAATTCAAACAACAAGCACAGTGCAAGCCATGCCAGTTCATTTCCGTTTAATCATTTGTGGAAAAGGAATAGGCCCTTAAATTTATAGGCTGGACAATATTTCTGTACTTGTTCCAGCAAGCTTTTACTGTTCCACGCTTTGTGCAATGTAATCTGAACAATAAAATACACATTGCCAACATTTCAAATAAAATAACCGACATATATAACCAAGACATGGTTTACAATTCCTGGATTCATTTGATGCACCAAACCTTTTCCTACTGCACCGCGATTTACATCTAAAAATAGGATTTCTCACACTAATATCAGTTACAAATAAAAGATAGCTGGCAGTAAATGATATACTTTGTTTTTTTAATACTGTCTACTAAAATAATCTGAATGGCTTCCAAAGTCGTAAAGCATATTGGATGTTCTCTCTCCCACTTCTGAAGCCAGGCAGCACTGAAGCATGACGTCTTCTGGAGGGGGGATGACGGACCAATAGACATTAACTACAGTGGCAGAGCGTAGCTCTCACCTGCTTCAGCTCCTGAGCTTCTGCCTCTGTGACTGTGGGCTGCAGGACCTTCACTTGCAGCTGGGTCAGGTCTCCTGCGGGAACCTCCAAGGGAACCTCTGTATCATGGCAGTGCTGGAGGAGGCTTGTTGCTGGGGTGGAGGAGACAGTCTTATTATGCTGCTGAAATGTGTTTGGCTAATAATACCACTAGGGTGAAATCTAAAAGAAACAAAAATCAAGTACAGAGACAACTTTACATTTTGTACAGAGAATAAAGACTTTGGTTACATCTGAGTTTCATACAACTAAAAACACCACTGCAAAAATTTTTTACAGATATAAAAATATTGATCTTACAATTTAGTAAGTCAGCTTCATGAATCGCGGTCAAAGCTGCTTGACAAAGGTCTTTTACTGCCACCTTGTGGTTAGCTGGTATAACAGTCTTTTTATTCAAGGTTTTTTTTTTTTTTCTTTTGCGCTACTCTGTGGGTCATAATTCACATGGGACGTTTGATGACTTACCACTCATAGCAGCTGCACCCTAAAAATCACATGCACGTTCTCAGCAAGCAATCCAGGTAAAGAATGGCGGGTATGTGACTATGAGTAACAATGAAGATGTAAATTTACAAAATTTAAAAAGAGAAAGCTATATTTTGACTAGTCAGAATGCCTACTAATTCAGAGATCAACAACTGGGAGGAGATGTTCCAGTAAACACTTCACAAGTCTGTGATGCAACACGTATTTGAGTACAAATGTAAAAACATGTTATGGCCATATGTTGCACCATCTGCTGGACATAGCATGTATTGCATTTAGGACCAAGAAGGCTCATTCCCTGGCTCCATACCTGCACTCCACACAGAGTCTGCCCCTTCAGGGTTACAGGGGGATGCAGCTGGGGTGGTCTGGAAGGCAGAGTATTCCGGCATGAATTCCACCTTTTTCTTGTACTGCATCTCCAGAACAGACAATGCCTCTGGCATCCGAGCAGAGAGCAGCCGGTAGCAGATGTCGGGCCGCCCGATGAAGCGCTGCCGCACGCTCAGCTCGTAGGGGCTGTGCACCCGCACGTCATCCACCTCCCCCCTCTCGAAGCAGTGCAGCAGCCGAGAGCTGCTGTCCCGCACCTCCAGTGAGGACACCAACACGGTCAGGCTGCCGGGCTTCAAGTCCAACTGTCCACCTTTCGAGACTATGGCCGGGATGCAGACGATCAACCCCTGCCTGCCTGCCCCCTTGGAGCCAGATCCCGAAGCATGGGACTGGGCAGCCTGCTCACCCTTGGCCTCCTGTTGGCTCTTCCAGGGCAGCTTGCCAAATGGCCACCAGGGCGGCGACTCTAATTCTGAAAGTAGCCTGCATACAGTGATTAGGGAAATGGAGGGAAAGGGTAAGCATAGTCCACTCCAGCTTACAAAGTTACTAGAAAACATAAAAATGAGGAATATTAACAATGTAAAATCACCTTCTACACTCTTCTACACATTTACCCCATTCCAGTGACACCTGAACTGTATACTGTAGAGTATTTTTACAGTAAAACTTAAAACCATGAGCTGTGCAGTTCTATGTATTTTAGCAGCGATACTATTTTGCTAAATCTTAATTCCACTTAAATATATCATAATCATAGGCTAATATTTGGCCACATGTAGCCAGTAATTTTTCTGACGCCAGTGTTGAAAAATACCAGCATCAGCAAAAATAAAGGCTACATGTGACAATCACAGCAATCATAAATCCATCCAAGCAAATGCCTTGTGAATTGCCAGTTCAGTTGGCATGTTGGTATTATGCCAAGATTACTAGTTTCACTTTCTCTCTTCCAGAGATTATCACAGGAGAGTAAATGAATAAACAATGTGAAACCAAAGTCGACAACTGTCTAAAGGTTTCTGACAAGCACCGGAGCTGTAATTCAGAATAACATAGATAGGAAGGAGAGAGATAATTGTGATATATACTTGTCTGCCACACCCAAATCCGACTCGATCTTGTCTAGTCCCTGCATGATGTTATCAAACTGCTCCCCCTGGTGGGTGAGGACCTTCCCCGTGTCCTCCAGTCTGCGTTGGGCCCCAGAAACTAAGCTGATCAGCTCCTTCCCTTTACTTAACGGGGCTGCCTTGGAAGTAGGGACCCCCGACGGAGACAGCAGCCGCTCCCTCCAGAAGTGCTCCAGCACATTGTAGACGACGACACGGTTCGGCCGGAGAGACCCAAACCAGTGCTTCACATTGCCCTCCTCCAGCACCGTGAGGGTGCTGAAAATGAAGCTGGATGATTCCATCTTGATCTCCACGATGCGGGACAGCCGGACGCTAGCCAGGCTGTCCTCGGCCTTGTCGGAGGTGAAGCGCAGGGTGGTGCACGTTAGGGACAATGCCCCGCTAACCCAGCGCTTTTCAGTGTTGATGTAATAGGATCCAGGCCAGCTGTGTATGGGAATATCCCTGCTCATCTTGGCTCCCTCTGGGAAGGCTGCAACAGCTGGCTGGTCTTTCACCTACAGCCAAAGTTCATAACACATTTCAGTCTTATACAAGCAGCCCAGCCCCGTGTAAATGCTGATTCTGGCTGCCTAAAAGCACATTTTAAGACTTAAGAGAGAATCACTTTTTGCATCATTTTGTTTAGGAAAAGATACAGTAGATAATGGATATTTACATACAGCACTCAACTGAAAATGGTAAAAATCAAAACTTAAAATCTCTCAAGACATTCTACGATTTGTCAATAAATAGGAATAAGCAACTAATTAATACGAACAGAGAAATATACGAATGTGTAGCTCGTTGTAAACACAGAAATCGGAGAGGCTGCTTGTATGAATACAAATACAGTGATAAGATGGGTTTCTTTACTCGACAGCTCAGTATATAGCCAGTCTCTTCTGTCTTGCCTTCGTTAAACTATGTGTCTGTCGGATGTATGAATATCGCCGGCAAACGAATTAACTGGCTGCCTATCAGTCTCTAGCAGTATTTTAGCCAGTTAGCTGGATACACTGAATGCTAGCTGGACAGTACGACGGCGGCTCCGTAAACATGAAACCGCATTTAGTATTAACAACTACTGTGTGTCTGACAAACTGTTACATTGGCAAAGAGTGTATATTTTAGGAAGGAATCGAGGCATATTTCGACCTTTCGGTGTAATCTTGCGCCGTGTCACTAGCCAACTCGCTAGCTGCACGTACGAGGTGCCTTTCCATCCGTCGCGCGACACAGGCCCGCAGCGGCAGCCTGGGAACCACAACCTGACGGCGCATATGATTGGTTCGCGGCGAGGGGCGTGGCTATGTGACGCAGCGCCGCATCCAGGAGCGCGGTGAAGGTCCGCGATGCGCTAGAAAACGACCAACTGAACGGGTTATCCATTTAACTTAAAATAATGGTTCAAGAGGAACGAATCGTTCAGGATCGACATCAGTCTTTTCAGAAAATTACTTTAAAATTTATGAAAAAGACTGCATTACCCAGATATTCTACGGTGTACCTTCGTGTTTTTACATTTGAACTCAATTCGTATTGGGAATTGTGTCATGCTTCAGACGATTCTTCCGGCCTTGTTTGGATACAAAGTTATTCTTACCAAATAACCCCCCCATCTTCCCTGTCATCTCTGCGAAAGTGATATACTGGGAGGCAAACGCACAAAGGGGCGCGCGCAACACATACACACACACACACACGTACCATATATTTGTGGGGACCGTCCATTCATTTCAATGGGCAAAACCCTAATCTCAACAATAACAACCTTAACCCCTACCCAGCCCTAACGTTAACCATAAGTAACCAAACAAAACAACAGACTTTTGACGTTTTTAGTTCTTTGATTGCAGTCACAGCATTTTACCGAATTTAATTTCCCCTTGTGGGGACCGAACAAATGACCCTCATCGTCAAAATACATGTTTTTAATAATATTGTGAAGACATTTTGTCCCTACAGTTATGGGCGTAATTTCCAGGGGGGTTAGAGGGGTCATGACCCCCCCAATAATCAGATCCAGTCAATATAACCCCCCCAATAATCATGTTTCCCCTGTAAGGGGTGGAGACCTCGACCTCCCCCCATGTTCCAGCCAAAGTTACGCCCTTGCCTACAGTAACGCATACCTAGACCACACACACGCACGTGCAGGCAGGCACGCACACGATATATGCCCATCGATGAGGAAAATACAGTCTACACACATATATACTGCATAATACCTAATGGATCTGCCATTTATTCCCCCCCCCTTTCTCCTTCTACCATGCTATTTTTATTTTACTTATCAAATTAATGACTTATTTTCAACCTGCTGCGTTTCCTCACCTTACATAAAATAAAAACTGACAGAAAATAAAATGACATTAGAAATAATGGAATTGCATCACGCAACATACAAGTCACATGTACAATGGAAAAAAAAACCGTGTCTAGCGTGATAGTTAATTAGCATAGAAAGATTTTTTTAGGTGTAAATATAATGGTTCTTTTATTTTAAGATAAAAGCTCATTTTGAACGAAAACACAGAACGTTGCAATTGATCAGACATATCTCTTGCAATTCCGGCTAGGTAGAACCAAACTTAAATCAATAGACTACACGTGTCGTTTAGCTCAATAGATTTTCAACCTTAATATTCAAATATCTGAAATATCGTCGTAAATAAGCCGACCGCTATTCCTGCACTGAAAGAAATAGAGTTTCTACAGCTAATTCAAAGTAACTAGAAGATTTTATACCATGGAGGGAAAATATCTACATTCATCACTAATACCCAGCTTATTTATGTGAGGTTCGAGCCTTTTTGCGCTTGAATTTAACAAAACAAACAGGTGCGACCGCTAATTAGTTTGATGCGTTCAGCTGAGCACAATTGCGCACCAGGATTTCAGACACTGCATTTGTTTTTGCATTTAATCTTTTCGAAAATGTTGGAGGTGCATTTCATGATGTTAGAAAAGGTCTGGATACTGTGGACCGAAATTTGCTTTCGTGATGACTTTTACATGGAACACGCACCTTAGCCTTGAACTGAAAAGCCAAATCACTTATGTAAATATCTATTATCTAATTAACGTGTTCTCAGGGGCAGGAATCTGCACGTGCATTAAAAATCAATTGAAAATTCATTATTATTTGTAGATTGATAACTGAACAACAACAACATCAATAATAATAATAATAATAATAATAGCTATAAGAATTATTCTACTTTGATAGAGTGTATGACCTGGCTTAATCAGTATGTTGCATAACAAGGTAAAAAAAAAATTAAATTGTAATTTTTATGACTTTTTCATAATTGTTCCCCCACCCTGTGTCGTATATAATTCCGACACCACACATATCTTGAACTTCACCTGCTAGTAGTCTTTCTCACTTCTGTCAGTTAACCTCTTCATAAAACGGAGTCAATACAATTTATACCATTTTATATGAAGAGTATAATTTATGTGTGTATTGTAGCTGTAAGGCACATGGGTTAGTGAAGGCAATGTAACAGTTAATGTGACAAATACCCAGGTCTAAGAAATTACTATATAGATCATTTTCCTTTACTTTATATTTTAACACTGCTAAATCTCTTTTTTGTATGTGTAAACCTTACTTAAAAAAATGCATTGTATTAACACTGAACACATGGGATTTTATATTACAGTTCTTACCATCAATTAATACGAACCATATATTCTATCTATGGTAAATTGTCTAATTTATTTTTATATACTTTGATTTGCCGTATTCTGAAGTGACATCAGAGATAGGGCAGAGGTGATGTCTGCCTCTGACTATAAATGCTTCGTCACACATTTTTGTGTAATATAATAGGGCTGGGGTAGGGATTTCGGGATGACCCCTCAATCAGGCAATGATAAAGCGCTGGTTCTGGGGACCGGCTGATTGAGAGGGCATCCCAAAAACCTGCACCCACATTGGCTCAGGATCCTTGGATCAGGTTACCTGCCCCTGTAATAGGACCTTGACTGGGGAAATCAGCTGAATCTCTCTGGTCATAGTGTCCATTGAAAATAATTCCCTATAAGCATATTAAAATAAGCTTGAATGATATTAAAATTAGTCTTCAATTTTTTTAATGACTCAGTAGTCATTAAAACTCAGTAGTGCTATCAAAATGCACATCTTTGAGAATCTCTCCACAGCAACCAGGATAGCGGTAAAACCTGTTTGAGGGGGAAAGATCCATAATAAAATTGATCACTCAAGTGCACCTGCTGATAATGACCATGGAGTCTTAGACTGGGGAGAAACAGGACAAGAGAGTACATTTTTTACATCATCAGTCAAGAATACCCACCAGACGCTCTGTGTCTGTAGCTTGATGGTACAAGAGTTTCCTGGGGACTTGGGTTGGTGTGGAGAGCTATTTGGAGGTCATGCATGATCTCCTATATGATTATTGCAACATCACAGGTAGAAGGTAGTCTAGCCTATAGAGATGGAGGACTATGGGATAGTCCAAATGGCTGAGAGAGTCTTTTGAACCTTGACGATAAGCGACAGTAAAGTCAAATTAGTGAAGAACAAGGGCCACTTGGCTTGCTTGGGGTCCAGCTTCCTGGCTTCACAGATATAATCCAATGGTCTGTAGAGGACAACTTGCAAGAATAGAACTAAAGAATAGAGCTTAGGGGCTGTGCCCTGTTGTTGGGATAAGACTGCACCCTCCCCAAATATATTTATGGCTTCTAGACTGACGTCCACAAGAACTGGCAGCGTCAGCACAGACAGAGGTGAACAGATTCTTGAGCTGCTAGAGTTACAAAGTTTACATGCCTACAAGTTTACATTACTTGTAAATGTTTTTGTAATTTTGCAAATTAATGGCACAGCAACTGAGACGGAGTTTTGGATGAATTGTCAGTAAAAAAATATGTAAAGCCTAGGAACTGTTTTTGATATTTCTTTGTTCTGGCCCATGGCACTCAACAAAATATTATCCGGTTTATTCTTAGATCTATGATGTACAAATTTGATGTAACTATCTATTATGTAGCTCAAGAAGGAGATGGTGGTTTTGTAAACATTTTTCTGCTTAGCATACAGGTTGTGTTGTTGAAGTGTCTGAAGATCCTTGTTGACATTGTTGTGAACGGTCAGCGAGCAGGGGAATTACGGAGCGGAGAATCAGGTTCGGGAAGTCTGAGAGTCGGGAATAAGGGGTTTATACTGTAGAAACAACAAACAGGGTACAGAACAACGTCAATGACAGGACTGGGGAAACGCAATCAAACGCGGACTGAAATACACAGGACTCAATGGGAATCACAAGAAACGGCTGATAACAAATCGGGACTGCACATGAGGTTAATGAGGGGGCGTGGTCACGAGAGGACCGGACGAGCAGGTCATGACAGACATCATCCTGGAGGTTGTATTGGAGGAGAAAATGAGCAGGTCATTGATATATATACTATCAAAGATGTATTCACCAGATTTCAGAATACAAAGGTGCATTAGCAAGCCCATATGTCATAACAAGATATTCATAGAGCCCCCCTCTTGTGCAGATCCAACATGATGGATCGAAGAACCTGTAAAACCACATGGAGAAAACAAAGTCCAGATTCAAAAGCCAGAGTCTCTGGGCCCCAATAAGACAAAAACAGGGAAAAATCACAAAATCTACGACATAAGACACAGAGCTAGGGAACTGGTAGTCAGACAAAGGTCATTCACAGAAACCGACTAGTCACGAAAGATGCCAACGCTTGATAACTCACAAGGATGGAGTAAACTGATGAATGAAGTTCTTTTAATTCATGCCAGTTACTCAGGTTGATGATCTGCAGATGTGTGTAGTACTCATGTGAAGCTGAGTGGGATCTGACCAGGCCTGGCTGAACGGATGCTTTCCTTGTTGTAGATGTGACATGGTTATTGTGCGAATGTACGTATTTCCCTTGTGCCTGAAAGAATAAAAAATAAATTGAAACAAATCAGGTTTATATCAACATGCAAACATGTTATTAATTGTGACATTTCTGTGAGCGTAGCTAGAGGAACGCAGTGGGCAGCCGGCCAGGTCTTTGTTATCCCGTGATGCTCACAGCATTGAGGAAAATCATTCAAAGAAATACCATCAAAAACGTATTAATGAAAATTATTGATTGACTTGATTAATGCATTTTCCATGTCATCTTCGTTATATTTCCATAGGACCCCTAACAAGGAGAAACTGCAAAGGAACACATCTCATCAGATACGGCATAAAGAAGGAGTACAGACACCAAAGCATTAG